TCCACTTAGATGCCACCACCACCCCTAAAAACCCACCAGGACATCCCCCAGCTCCACGGGACCCCCCCAATTCTTCGGAGACCCCCCCATGGCACCTCGGGGACCCCAAAACACCACCCTGGGGGTCTCTCAGGGTCCCCACAGACCCCAAATGTCCCTTGGGGACCACAGGACACCGTTGGCATCTCCAAGACCTTACCCCAGGGACCCCAGAGACACCACCAGCACCTTGGGGACCCCCCAGGAACCCCAGAACCTCCTACGACACCTTGGGGACCCCAAAAAACCTCCCTCCAGGGCACCCCGGGGACCCCAGAGACACCTCCAACACCTTGGGGATCTCCAGGACCTCCACCATCACCATGAAGAACCCTAAAAACCCACCAGGACACCCCCCAGTGCCACAGGAACCCCCCCAATTCCTCGGGGACCCCCCCGTGGCACCTCAGGGACCCCAAAACACCACCCTGGGGGTCTCTCAAGGTCCCCACAGACCCCAAATGTCCCTTGGGGACCACAGGGCACCGTTGGTACCTCCAGAACCTCCACTTAGATGCCACCACCACCCCTAAAAACCCACCAGCACACCCCCCAGCACCACGGGACCCCCCCAATTCTTCGGAGACCCCCCCATGGCACCTCGGGGACCCCAAAACACCACCCTGGGGGTCTCTCAGGGTCCCCACAGACCCCAAATGTCCCTTGGGGACCACAGGACACCGTTGGCATCTCCAAGACCTTCACTTAGATGCCACCACCACCCCTAAAAACCCACCAGGACATCCCCCAGCTCCACGGGACCCCCCCAATTCTTCGGAGACCCCCCCATGGCACCTCGGGGACCCCAGAGACCCCTTGGGGACCCCAAAACACCACCCTGGGGACCACAGGACACCCTTGGGACCTCCAGAACCTCCACTTAGATGCCACCACCACCCCTAAAAACCCACCAGGACACCCCCCAGTGCCACAGGAACCCCCCAATTCCTCGGGGAACCCCCCGCCCCCCATACTGGTGACCCACCAGTGCCGTACTGGTAGACCTCGACGGGGCGGTTGTACATCTCGGCCATGGCCTGCATCTCGATGTGGTTGCCGTGGCAGGTGCTCTTGCGCTTGCGGTTGATGTAGGTGGTGAAATCCTCCGTCACGTAGTTGGAGAAGTAATCGGCGTTTTTCATCTGGGGGGGGGGGGCATTTTGGGGGGGTTTTGGGGAATCCCGGGGGGCCCTCAGCACCACGGGACCCCCCCAATTCTTCGGAGACCCCCCCGTGGTACCTCAGGGACCCCAAAACACCACCCTGGGGGTCTCTCAAGGTCCCCACAGACCCCAAATGTCCCTTGGGGACCACAGGGCACCGTTGGTACCTCCAGAACCTCCACTTAGATGCCACCACCACCCCTAAAAACCCACCAGGACACCCCCCAGCTCCACGGGACCCCCCCAATTCCTCGGGGAACCCCCCACGCCCCCTCCGG